GTATGTGCAGGTATATTTATGTATGTGCAGGTATATTTATGTATGTGTAGGTATATTTATGTATGTGTAGGTATATTTATGTATGTGCAGGTATATTTATGTATGTGTAGGTATATTTATGTATGTGCAGGTATATTTATGTATGTGTAGGTATATTTATGTATGTGTAGGTATACGCAGCATGCATGTCTGCATGTATACAGTGTGCTGCAAGTATTTATGGATATAGTAAATTCAGAATTTGCATGTAAACTTAGGGACAGGATAAACTTTTGATTGTTACTGCTCCCTTTTCAAACATTTAGTTTTGTTTTTGTTTACAGAATATTTTGGTGGAAATATTTACCTTTTTACTCATGTTTTTGTTGTTTTTTGTTTTGTTGGTATTTTAACTGTTCGAAATGAAATAAACAATAAAAAGTTTGGACAACTGAAATATTTGTATAAATTTGAGGACTTGCAAAAATGTAGAAAAGTCTAAAAGAGTTTATCAGTAAAAAGTCTCCTTTGAATAAAAAGTGAAAGGGATGCTGAAACATTTGACTGGAGGTGGATGTTCGGTAACAAACAGCATCCACGTAAAGATTTAAACACAAAAACAACAGTTGGACATTTCATTTGTACCTGAAGCGTTTCAGCTCACTTATATCTCCGTAGGCCAGAGTGAGCGTTTCAGGACGGCTGGCGTAGAAGTAGTCCTTATAGTCATCCCACCACACCTCCACCACACGGACATAGTTCTGTTCAAGCACACACACAGTCAGTGTTTGTGTCCACATACCAACACGACACACACACACATGCACAATTAGTGTTTGTGAGAATACAAACACATAAAGCCAATACTGTGGACTCCACATAAACAGAGTCTAGATCTAAATCCTACAGACTACGAGTGACTGCACATTCATCCCGTCTGGTTTTCCATGGTCTGGTCTCAGAACCGACTCACGTCACCTGAATTGGACTGTTTGGGTCAACGCAGTCTCAGGTTCTTGTTCTAAAAGAGTTCCACCTTGAGGTGGGTGGGTGTGGTCCACCAAAATGTCTGCAGCATGATTTTGTACAAACACAACACAGGAGACGTTGTAAGACATTAAGGAGATGGAGCAGCTGCTGCTGGGAAAGAGAACTGAGACCCAGAGAAGCTGCAGCAAAGAAGAGACAGTGGAGATGAGCGGGTCGGCAACCTGAACCCATCAAAGAACCATTTGGACCAGCAACGTTAGCAGCTTTCTACCCAACAACCTATGCAGTAAAGTCCATCGGTGCTCCGGTCGTACTCGCTGCCCCATCAGCACCACGAGCACCAGGTCACCTGGGCTCTGGAACAGTCAGCCTCACAGATGACCCCCCCCCCCCCCTCTTTGGACCCATCACAGGAATCAGCTGAATCTGTCTGTGACGTTCTCTGACATTTTTATTCTTCGGTCTTTAGCCCTATTCACACATCAGTTTTACCAAGGGACCTCATGCTATTTGTAATAATTACAGATTATCTGTGTTGTTAATCCCGTGCAAATCGGCCATGTCAGTAATCTGTAAAGTAAAAATTCCCCCTCAGATTACCTACTATATTTCGCTGAACTCCGAGGTCCAGTGATAAAACTAATCCAACGTGAATAGCCATCTCTGTGATTTGGACAGAAATGGGCGGGATCCGATACGTAATGAGCAGGTTTTGATTTCTAAGCAAAATCATTTGGAAAAATTTAGAACGAGGTTAATTTAAATGAACGCGCTGCTCGCTGCAGCTTTTGTAGACGCTGCTACTTCCTTCACCACAGATGACAGCAGGTGTAGAGACGTGCGCAGCCGGTGATCAGCTGGTCAATCCATCCATCCATCCATTATATTTACCCTCTTCTTCCTTTTTGTGTAGCGGGAGTCGCTGGTGCCCGTGTCCAGCCATCACTATGAGAGAGGCGGGGGGGACACCCTGGACAGGTCGCAAGTCCATTTCAACCGGCGGGCCAGTGAACACGCGGCCGGTGACAGGTTGTCCATATGAGCTTAACAACTTTTTATACCTCTTTAAAACGGACGGTGGGACCTGCCTTGTCCTCAACAACTAGATGAACACAATTTTAGATCATGCATTCTTATTTAGTTTTATTTGTGCTGTATGATTTGTAAAACTGCATCAAAGTCCGAGGTCGGCCCGGCCCACACATTAATCTCACTAATATGGACCGGCCCGGCCCACACATTAATCTCATTAATATGGACCGGCCCAGCCCACACAATCTCATTAATATGGACCGGCCCGGCCCACACATTAATCTCATTAATATGGACCGGCCCGGCCCACACATTAATCTCATTAATATGGACCGGCCCACACATTAATCTCATTAATATGGACCGGCCCGGCCCACACATTAATCTCACTAATATGGACCGGCCCACACATTAATCTCATTAATATGGACCGGCCCGGCCCACACATTAATCTCACTACTATGGACCGGCCAAGTCGTGACAACGCAGTGCATTAACATCATATGCGGAAGATGTCTGTAAATTTCAGCTAAAGCTCAGGCTTTGGTTTTTCACGGTGAACGTGCCACAAACAGACGCTGGGGAGTAATTTATTGATTACATGTGGACATTAGGTCAAACGAATCCTGTGTGAACAGGGCTTTAGACGGTCTGTGCAGAGAGGCAGTTCTCTCATTTTCTGTATAATTTCATTGTTTTTAAAGTCCGTGACAGATGCTCTGAAATCTTAATGAATGATTCTTTTATGTGTGAGCAGCTTCCTGTGCCTGAATATTTCCTGAGCAGCTACAAATCTGGTATATGTAGCTGAATTTGCAGACTGCAGCCACTTCTTGAAATGATTTTTGCTGTTCAACCTTCCACATCAGTTCTGAAACAGCTTCTCTTCTCTCATCTCCATCTGGATATTTTTCTGCACAGGCTGCAGTTTATTCTGGAAATGTTCTGCAACGTAGTTGTTGGTCACATATTAAGCTCAGTAACACCCCTCATCAGCTGCAGCAGCTAGTTCATGTGCACATGCAGCATTAGATGTCCTGTTTCCTTCAGAAAGTTGGTTTTTCTTGCAATTATCCATGGTTGGCTTCACTGGGGCCGAGATGTTCTGTCAGTTGTGCACGGGCAGGTGTCGCACGTATGTTGAGAAACAACGTTTTATTTCCATATGACAACAGCACCATCATCTTCTACCTGAGAATCACATTTAAGAACTTAACCAGCTGGACCACAGGAGGGTCAGCCAGCATCGTATCGCTCGGTTCATTCACGTCTGGTTTTCAAACACCACCCCGCTGTGAGCCTTCCTCCATCAGGACCAAACAGGACGAAGTTAAACCCCCTCCTAAGATACAAACATCACTCTTTCACTTTTCATGGACTCAGTGAAATTTAAAAAAAAGATATTGTTCATCTGTTGAAAACAAAATCTTTTCTCTCAGTTTCCCCGTTTAAATTTTTTTTTCTTAAAATGTTGGTTAACGATGTTTTATTTCAGCTACTAACTACTCCAGACCTCACAGAACTTATTACACTTTAAAGAAGCTTGATGTTTAGTTTTTGTCTTCTGGTTTATTTTTCATTGTTCTGTAAGTTTCAGTGCCCGGCCCGTCAACAGAACCGAGCCCGTTTATTTCAAAGCTTCGTGTCATTTAATGTAAGTTTACTAAGTCTGATCTTCTTGTATTTTTATTTTTGAGGCAAAAAGCATCGGTTGATAATGTAGCTCAGGCCTATTCAACTGGCACTGACTTCAGTCGGATCACTTCATTAAAAAATAAAATAAAAAAAATTTTTTGGCTCTGGTTATTGCATTTATGATTCAATGCAATAAAATAAACAAATTTAAAATGTAACAGATCATTGTAAAACTTGGTTTATATAATGACTTTAATGGATGTGCTGCCCCCGAGCAGTTTTGTTTGATATAATTTCTTCTACTTTTCATTTGATCTGATCTGATTTGATCTGATCTGATCTGATTTGATCTGATATGATTTGATCTGATATGATTTGATATGATCTGATATGATTTGATCTGATATGATTTGATCTGATATGATTTG